ACCAGGCTGCGCCGGGACAGAGACAGAAGGTGGGGGGTGTGCACCACCGAGTTGTTGTAGACCTCAGTTTCAAAACCCGCATCGTCGGCTGGGAGAGGAAGAAACAAAACTATCTAGAATCAGAATCAGAATCAGAATAGGGTTTATTGCCAAGTAGGTTTCTAGACTTATAAGGAATTTGCCTTGGTGTTTGGTTCACAACACAACACTTCTATGAGAAGCAAGGAATAAAATGTAGAAATAAAAATATAGGACAGAAATGATAAAACTGAAAAATACAATCCTTAAAAATATAGATCAGAATGTACAAATGAACAATCTTTAAAAATATAGATCCGAATGTGCAAATGAACAATTGAAATGTGCAATGTTGATCTGCAACGACAGGAATGTGGCTGTTTCTGCAGAACAGCTGTGAGAATGGAGGAAGAAGGGGAAAAAGCCAAATGAAAAGCTGAAAAAGACATAGTGGAAGAAAAAAGGCAGAAGGGAGGAATAATTTTAAAGAGCTGAAAACTAAAGAGTGGAAAAAGAAAGGTAAAAGGATTAGAAGAAGAGTAAAGAGTAAAAGGGCATTAAATTATAGATAACGTACAAGAAACTTGGATAGGGATTTGAACCGACAACTTTTGGATCTGCAGTCAAAGGCTATATCACTGAGCTCTACCACGGGCCGAAAGGCTCCAGAGGAATACACAGAAAAGAAATACACTGAAAAAATGTGAAGGGGGCTGAAATGCAAGTGACCAGCAGATGAGATTTCAATGAGAGGAATAAGGCATAAACGGTTAAATATCTTAAAAAGTTGAAAAGATTTGACCACCAAAAGTCATAGCTCAATAGTCCTGAGATAGCTGAACATTGTGATACCTTATTTGTTGAAATGGGCTGAAAGGTGTAGGAGTAGTTAGACGCAGAAAAACGTAGGGAATATGTCTCCCCCTTGTGGCAGTAAGGGTCGTCACACAAACACACAAATCCTTTGACATATGACAAATGTGACAGGAAAAGTCTCTCATAAACACCAGCTGTTTCAGGAGCAAAGAGCCCTCTCTTGACTTCCTCAAATGTGCTCGCTTTAAATGTGCGGTTCTCCTTTCATCGACATCTTTCTCTACCTTTCCTGCTGTTGTCAAAGGCTTGTCTTGGACTCCTCTTCATCTACTTAAACCAGTCTGTTGCTTTTCTACTGTAAACTGTTTTTTTCTCAGCAGCTTTAAACACATTTAAATGATAAAACACAGTCAAATATAACTTGACAAAGTATGAACTCAATCTTTTTCAAACGTCCACCAACCAATGTCAGCCAGATGTGTGAAAGGCAGATGTCCACAGACAGTTTTCTCACAATGTGCCGTAAATCTGGCATCCCTCACCAGACTACAAACCCCGTTAGACAACCAGTTTCCCTGTTCATTAAAGCTCCCTCAGCAGTAAATAAAGCACTTTTGTGACCTGAATCAGCTTGGATGGTGCTAGTTTTGGAAACTTTACGTGGAATTAAAAACTTCACTAGTGACAAAAACACAAAAACAAAGCTGGAGTGTAAACATCTTCTTTCCACTCAGTCGTTAACTCACCAATGATCAGCAGCACGTTTCTTCTCTTTGAGACCACGGCGCTACAAGAGGCTAAAATGATCAAAACTATCCGGGAAAGCATTGTTAGTTATCGAACTGGACTTTAACTTGGCAGAAACCCGCTTTAAAAAGCTCAAACGCGGCTAAAACCATGCTACTTTACGGTTTACGAGCTGGCCGCCGTGAGGGAGAAAGAACTTCCGGAAACAATCTAAGCCCCGCCCACTTTGTGTCACATGACCGCGGTCACGTGGGTGGGAGAAAACAGGAACCTGCCCGGTGCCTGATAAGCGAAAAGTACGAATGGAGGGGAAGTGGGTTTAGCAGCTGGGCTTTCAGCCCAAGAAATCACAGCAGAACCGACAGATGAGACCCGGGAGGATAATTTAATATCGCCCAGCTGGTGGGTTCTATTCTATTTTATTTTATTCAATTATATTCTATTAAATTCTGTTCTATTGTGCTCTGTTCCTTTCTATTCTATTCTATTCTACTCTATTCTATTCTATTCTATCCTATGCTATTTGATTATGCTCTATTCTATTCTGTTCTGTTATGTTACATTATATTCTATTGTTATCTATTCTATTAACTCGTATTACAGTGTAATTATGCCTGTGGAATACTTTCCATTATATCGAAGTTTTAATTCACTCCAATTTTTAGCGTTCAGGGATCATTTGAACATTACTGTGAGATCTATTATTTGGACACCTCGTCCGAAACCAGGCGGATCAGTGGGGCCTCCCAATGTGACTCCAGGCTGCTTTTTACCTGGATGCCCAGATGCAGGTGTAGGTCATGTGATTAAACCCATGACTGTCACACACCTGGAGGAACCAGGAAGAGGCGCAGACCTGCACACAGAACATCTTTGTTGGGTTTTCCTGAAAGCTTTGGGAGGGAATCCAGTCAAACAACGTTTTTGGAAAACATTATTTTGTTCAGTTAAACCCCTAAAAGTCTTCCGGGCCACTTTCTGTCCCAAAAGTGAAGGAGATGGAAGTTAGTCCCAGCCAACTGCTGACTAATAAGTCCTCTTTATAGGGAAATAGCTATGCACCCCTTAAAAAATGACTTTTTGACACTAAAATTAAGCATATTTGTTAAACTATGGATTCTTCTGATAAATTGCTGATTTTAAAACAGACACTTTATGATAACAAATATCCATAATTAACCCTGTTGTGGTCTATAAGTGCCTTTTTGACCCCAAATCTTTTTGCTCTTATCATTTTTAAGATTAACTTTCACAGAATTCCTTGACATTTTCAGGAATTGTGTCCCTCTGCATGCGTTAGTTTTCAGAAATCTTCACATTCCCTTATAGGTCTTCCAGGAAATGAATGGACCCTTATGGATCATTCTGCTCAGTGCAAGACGCACGCGTCCACATGCTTTCAACAATTTTGATTTTTACAGCGACAATTGAAAAAATATTTAGGATTTCTTACTTTTTTCCTCTCATAACTTCAGACTTAGTTTTTTATTCAAACTGAGAACTACTTTTGGTTAAGGAAGTGAATATTCCACATCAGTGGGTCAGTAATGAGTTGCATGAGGAGGTTTGTTCAGCCCAGTCTGAGGTTTACTGCGTTATATAAAACTTAGTTTTCAGAAATACTCATATTCCCTTATCATGCTGGTCAGTACATTGTTTTACTCGCGCAAGCGTCAACATGCGTTCAACATTTTGGATTTTCACAGCGACGATTGAAAAAATATTTAGGATTTCTTGCTTTTTTCCTCTCATAAGTTCAGACTTAGTTTTTTATTCAAACTGAGAACTACTTTTGGTTGAGGAGGTGAATATTCTACATCAGTGTGTCAGTAATGAGTTGAAGGAAAAGGTTTGTTCAGCCCAGTCTGAGGTTTACAGTTTTTGTAGGGTGACGATCGCAATCCTTAGTAGTCACTGAGGGAAGGATGTAGGGCTCTGTATGACTCGCTGACTCTAATGATGAAAATTGGCTCCAATACAGGTTGAAGGGTGTTTATTTTTCTTCTTCTTGCACAATACACGTTGACCAGATTGTATGTTGAATATAAAGGTACTTTGGCTATTGATTTGCTACTTTAAGGTTAATTTGCGGTTACTTTGTGATTACTTTGCTTTACTTTGCTTTACTTTGCGGTCAACAGAAAATATCGGCCCCTATGTCTACCCTCTCTGTCACAAACAAAAGATCAAACTCAATGGGCAGATACAGGTGATAATTATCAGGCCATCATCCAAACTAGCCACACACCCACACACACACACACACACACACACAGACATATATTCAAACACCTGACTCCCTCTGTTGTTCAGAGCTAAACACATCCATGCCTCTACAGTTTTTTTTATGTGTAACACGTCCCGTTTCTCTTCCCCTCTAGTCTTTAGGGATGGATCGGATGGTGGGGGGGGCGGCGGCCCGGCGCTGCTGCTCCTACGGCGCCCTGAAGGCCTGGCTGCCCGTCCTCTCCTGGTTGCCTAGCTACAGGTGGACGTACCTGCAGATGGACGTCCTCGCCGGGCTCACCGTCGGCATGACGACCGTCCCGCAGGCGCTCGCCTACGCCGAGGTGGCCGGCCTGCCCGTCCAGGTGAGTCCCAACATCCCCCCACATGTGTTTGCTTCTTTTCTAGTTAATTTCATGTTATTGCCAGAATATTAACCTGTAACTTATACATAAAGTGGAAGGCTACTCACTCCAGATATGGCCTGATAGCCACATTCAGACTGGCATCTGTGTCCAGGGGGTAAGCGCAGGAGAAGGGAAGTCCCACAGGAAGCACAAAGGACTCGTTACCTTTCGGGTAAACGAATAAGCTGTTGGCATAGACGGCATGTGTGCGGTTGGTCTGAAACAAAAGTGATCAAACCATCAGATCAGCCCATGATGCTTTTCTATGAAACTGGATTTATATTCTAATTTATCCTCTAAAGTATTTGCAAGTCATAAGACCTTTGAGGACAATAAGGCAGAAGGTAATTTTAGCAACACAACACACTGTTAGCCCGATTCTTTAGTTGGAAACCTGAGCATAAACCAGAGTGGATCAAAAGTATAAAAATGACATTTATTGGACACAGTTAAGTGTATCAGCTGCGCTTTAACAGACAAAAACCTCTCTCTGGGTCTCAGTGGGCAAAGCGCCCTGAGATCTGGGTGATGGGCATTATCTCCTGGGCTCCATCCGCCTCCTCAAAGGAGGACTGGACACAACCAAGTCCTATTGGCCAGTTACCTCTGGGCACGAACAGGCCAGGTCCTAATTCATGCAGATGACAGGAATGTGGTAACAAATGGTGTGTGTGTGTGTGTGTGTGTTAACCTAAAGGTGGATCTAATGCAACAGAGAAAGAAAAATAGAGAAGAGAGATTCTGTGGACACAGCCAGAGACTTTAACACAAAATATAGTTCTAAAATTAATAAGACAATCAGTCATTTACATAGATCATGTTATAGCATACAATGCTAAAGTGAGTAATTATAGCCAAATTCTAACAAACTCTTCATACTTGAACATATTTACTGGTTCAGGCCTCTCAAATGTGATGTTTCTTCTATCCTGAGTTGTATTCTACTGTGTTTTGAGACATTTCTAAACATTTTATTGCAGTTTATTTATGTTTGAGGATTCCCCTGATAAGGGCTCTTTTCCCTCCTTAACCCTTTAAAGCCCGATCCAAGAAAAACAGGAAGAATATTGGATTTTTTTTAGTCTGAAGTCTGTTTGGCCCCTCAACAACATATGAAGAAAAAAAACAGAAATTATTTTGATCAAATGAGCGTGCAATAAGTCAAAAATATATTTTGGTGTAGTCTTCTACTGGCTGTTATCAGGTATATCTGAATGTGTACAACAGGGGTTTGAGCAAAGCTTTTACCACTGAATGATGCAAAAAGTCTCAGATCCAAAAGACTTCAGAAACCGTACGTATCAAATGTGATACATTTGGCAGTATAGGGTTAAATTTTTCCACTTTATTATGAATGTATGAATAGATATTTAGTCATTGTGGGCAGCCCTTAAAATGCCATCCGTAAATTATTACCATAATCGTACTTGTTCCTGTTTATTTTCGTTAGCTTTGCCTGAAGCAGGAACTTTTTATCCAAAAGACTTCAGAAACCGTATCAAATATGACACATTTGTTATTATAGGGTTAATCTGAGAGCGTTTCCCTCCTCAGTACGGCCTCTACTCCGCCTTCATGGGGGGGTTCGTCTACGCCCTGCTGGGCACCTCTAAGGACGTGACTCTGGGCCCCACGGCCATCATGTCCCTGCTGTGCTCCTCGGTGGTGGGGGGGCAGCCCCCCCGGGCCGTGCTGCTCAGCCTGCTCTGCGGACTCATCCAGGCCCTCATGGCCCTGCTCAGATTAGGTAAAACAGGGGTCACGATGGGGTCACGATGGGGTCACGATGGGGTCACGCCGGGGTCTTGTGACTTTACGAGTTAAGTCTGAACTCGTGAAACGAAGAGCTAATTGGGCCTTGGCCCACTTTGAGATGCATCAGCCCTCTTCACAATTAAATGTTTGTAAAGTTTGAACATAGAAAGAGTCTACCGTGTAAATTCTTACGAATTTATTGCTATTTATTTATTCTTCTCACACTGTCGTTAACACTTATTTTAGATCTGTATATATACGTATTGTTACATATGTAT